TATGGTAACAGCAAGAGCTCAATAAATCTTTCTTGAGATTCTTGGCATTTCTCTGTGCCTCAAAGTTTTCAAGTCTTTAAAAGGTAAAGACATGTTATGGATTTGTTTATCAGGTTTTGAGTAACACCTGTCATTTACCAGCTAATCTACTAACATTAAAACTTATACAACTTTCACTTACATTTGATTCTTTGCTGCTTGCCTCTGAGCTTTTCTTTCTTTCCTTTTCTGATCTGGTGGCTTAGCAAAAACAATTTCAATATTTTCTCCCTCCAAGTCCTTGCCATTCATTTCTTCCATAGCCTTAAAAAATTAAATATTGATCATTATAAGAGGAATTTAAGTTGATTATGATTGAAGTTTTAAAAACATCATTTTATCATCAATGTTGGAAAGATGAGATAAAACAGGTTAGATTTCTTTTTAAAGATCCAGCTCTTCAACCAATTATGTTTTTTATTTAGTCAGGTATACAATTTGCTAAGGCCAATAAAGTTTAGTATGTATGAGTAGAGTATGAGTTGATTACCTGACCTGAGTTTCCTTCAATTTTTTAAAAACATTCTGATTCTAGGATGACTAAAATAATTAGCCCACTTTAGTCTTCGCTGATGTGGCTCAGTTGGTTGGGTGTCGTCCTGCAAAGCCAAAGGTCACCAGTTCGATTCTGAGTCAGGGCACATGCCTAGGTTTCAGGTCTGGTCCCCAGTTAGGGGCATATGAGAGGCAATGGCTCGGTCTGTCCCTCTCTTTCTCCCTCCCTTCCCCTCTTTCTAAAAATAAATAAAATCTTTTAAAAATTTAATAATTACTCCACTTTTGATACCTATAATTCCCTCAATTATTTACCTTAACAGCACCATCTCGTTCATCAAAATGAATGAAAGCATAATCTTTTAGTTTCTTCACTCGTTCCAGTTTCCCAAACTGACTAAATGCCTTTTCTAAAATCTCTTCTGTTACAGTATTGGCAAGGTTGCGTACAAACAGCACTTTTACCTGAAATTTAAAAAAAAACAAAAACAAAAACAAAACAGAAACTCTGTATATTTCCAAAGGTTTCAATTTTCAATCCGCCACCACCCCATCCTGCAAAGTTAACTTTAGTCACAACCATCAGAAAAAAAAAACTGTTTTCAACTCATTTGGGTAAATACCAAGGAATGCTGACAGCTGGATCTAATGAGCAAAAAACCTGAACAAATATCTCAATAAAAAAAGATACACAGATGATAAATAGGTATATGGTGAGATGCTCAACATCATGTCATTAGAAAATCATGATAAACAGTGAGATACCGCTACATACCCACTAGAATGGTCAAAATCCAAAACATTAACATCACCAAATGCTGCTGAGGATATGGAGCAACAGGAACATTGCTGGTAGGAATGCAAGATGGTATAGATAATTTGGAGAGCAGCTACTAACAAAATTAGCCACATTATACTCCTTGTTATTTACACAAAAGAGCTGAAAATATGTACACACAAAAATGTGCATGTATACATGTACAGCAGCTTTACTCTTAATTGCCAAAACTTGGAAACAACCAAGATATCCTTTTGCAGGTGAATGGATAAACTGTGGTACATCCAGACAATGGAATTATTTAGTGTTAAATGAGCTATTAAGCCATGAAAGACATGAAAGAAACAAATGCATGTAACTGAAAGATAAGCTTAAAAAGCTACATACTTTATGATTCTAACTATCCAACTATGTGACATTTGGGAAAAGGCAAAAAACTATGGATAGTAAAATTATCAATAATTGCCAGGGGCTAGAAGAGTGAAGGATGAATAGGCAAATCAAGGAGATTCTTAAGGCAGTAAAACTATTCTGTATGATACTGTAATGGTAAATACATGTCACAAATTGGTCAAACCCAGAGAATGTACACCATCAAGGGTGAATCCCAACGTAAACTATGGACTTGGAGTTATAATGTGTCAATACAGGTTCACTGATTGTAACAAATGTATAAATCTGATGTAAATGCTGATAATGGGGGGAGGCTACTTGTGTGTGGGCAGGGGATATATGGTAACTCTGTACTTTCTGCTCAAAAAAGACCACATGCCTAAAAGTTATTAAATAATTATTTTGCAACTAAAACGAAGATGGTTATTTACTAACAATGTAAATACCACCCCCTCTAAGACAGCTGTTGAACATTTAACAGTTAACACAGGTGGTCAAAACTAATTAGGGCTGGCTTTTAAAAATCTCAGCTAAGGGGAGAGAGAGTGTTCAAAATATTAAGATAAATTCTTTCAATCCTGAAAGCTCCTCAAAAATACAATTATAAAACATGATCTTTTTTACTAAGAAACATTATTGCTTGCTCCTAGAATATGTACAAAGCATCCAAATTTCTTCATCTCAAGTGTTAATCCAACGAGAGTTTAAGAGGCCAGAGGAAAATAGAATCCTAAATAGCTTAGGTGAAGACCACTTATCCTGCCCTGGCTGGTGTACCTCAGTGGATTGAGCACTGGCCCACGAACCAAAAGGTAGTTTTGATTCTCTACCAGGGCACATGCCTAGGTTGCAGGCCAGGTCCCCATTGGGGGCTTGCAAGAGGCAAGTGTTTCATTCATGTTTCTCTCACACATCCTTGTTTCCTCCCGGTCTCTTTCTCCCTCATTTCCCCCTTCTCTAAAAATAAATTTAAAAAATTATCCTTTAAGAAAGTTACCATGTAGACACTGGCATTTCACTCATCTCTTAGATTTAAGTGAACTTAATTGTCTATAACCATTAAGTGAACTTAATTGCCTATAACCATTAAGGGAGAGTCTTAAAGGACAAAGGGTAAAATAACTGCAAACTGCATTAAAGTATTGACTTGAGATGTTTGTTCTCATAGAATGTCTCAACTGACTGCTGAAGCAGGATAACTAATAATAGATAAACCTTGTAACTGCAGCACCTCTGCTGAGGCCAGTACATACACTATTTTTAGGAGTAGGACTTTTAACACAAAATCACCCAAGCTAATAGCACCATTCTCAAAAACTCAAAAGAGATTGCTCTAGGAATCCACACAAAAATGAAGTACACCATTTCCACGGCACGTAGACTAACTACTTTATCATGAGTGTGACAGCTACACCTTATGGCCAGGTTTCCTCGAATAAATTCTGTAATCACTTTACATGCTCTATTTTGTGCAAGAGTTATTCCATGGTACCATTTTTGGTATTGTCACCTTAATAAAGAACACTTTTCACTTTCAAAAATATGGTTTAAAAAAAGTACACAATCGTTTTATAAGTTCTCCCCCCACCCCCAAAACCTTCCCCTATCAACCCCATAAATTTTTTTTTTTTAAGTTGACTGCCATTACCTTTGCCATAACCTCAGGATCAGGATCTTCTATAGGATCAGCCCATTCAACAGTTCCAACATTTCCCCAGACTTTGACTTTACCACTCATTAACCTACGCCTTGCCTGAGCAGCTGTTTTATGATCTTCATATTCAAGAAAGCAAAAACCTCTGTTTTTTTTCTTGTCATCTGGTTGGTGGTATAAAATGACGTCTGTAAGACCCTCTGAAAGTAAGCAACCATTCCACAAAAATTAGATAAAACAAGCAAGAACAAGTAGATCAAAGGATTTATTTTTCTAATACTTGAATACCAACAAAGAAAAATAATCACTTATCTTTACAGGGGACTCAACAGATAATTTGCCTTTCCAAAACACTTTCAAATATTCCCAACACAGGAAAAAAAAAACAAACACATGTTCTTTTTAATTAGATCTAAGGACAATTCTGCTTCCATTAATGAGAGGCATAAAATCTTTACATAGTTGCTTTAGTAAAATGGCAGTATAGGTCAGATATGGTTAGACATTTTTCTTGTTATGCAAGCAAACACTAAAAACTTTTTAAATGACACTTTTCTAGCCTCAGATATTGATTAGCTTTATTTAAAATGAAATAAAACATACTAGTTATTATATAAGAATTTCAAAAGTTCCTTGAAGACTAGTAACAAGCTGATAATTTGTTAAAATATTCTAGGCAGACAAATTTTTTTTTAAAAGCAGTCTAGTCTGTCATTTCAAAACTGTTATAAAATGCTTTACAGTTCAAAGAAACTGCACCATATTCACAATGTGGAAAAAAATCAAACCATTAACACACACACATACACACATCAAACAATCCTACCAACAATGTCAACTACCACCTAGAAATGCATATGAATAAAGAAATACAATACTCCAAAACGGGGATGTACAACAATTCTGCAGACTCAATTCAAATCCCAGTTGCATTCCTTACTAACTACATAACATTCAGCAGGTTGTTTCCCCAAGCCTTATTGTGCCTGTTTTCCTTACCTCATATGGGTGTAGTGAGAATACAATGAGTCAATAAATGTAGTGCTTAAAACAGTGCTTGTCACACAGAAGTACGCAATTACCTTCAGTATTAAAAGTTGCACCTCCTTCCAAATAAATCCAACTTACCTGTTACTTTGCTAAATTCTTCAAGAATCTGTTCCTTGGTTTTACTCTTAGGAATAGAGCCCACAAAAAGCCTATTGTTGGCAACCGAGATGCAGACACCAATGTGTTTTCCAGAACGAATTTCATGATTATTATACTGAAAGGGGAAAATGTACACCATGTTTTCAAAATACTCACAATATCCTATCTTAAGTGCTTATTAGAGAAAGATATGCACATCCCATACACAAACACAAAACTTTTTAAACAAATTAAAATTTTAACACTGTTTCTCAAGAATTTATCCTTTTAAAAAGTACCACAAAGACATTAGGAAATTGTAATCTGAGATAGACAGGAAGATTGTTTAGTGTGACAAAACACACTAAACAAATTTACGAATTAAATTAGTGCAAAAAATTGTTAAGACTTTGAAATCTAGGAAACTTGTTTAACTTGGAATCAGGTCCGCAGCAGCTTAAATATAAAATGGTTGATTCCAAAATACCTTAATTTCTACTTAAATCCATCCTGCCAACCATTTGTCTTCATGCAAAGGAAACTGATACAAATACCAGCATCTACATTTATTTTTCCGTCTTTCCTTAACCTCTTACACAAAGTTGCAATAAGAATTTTCGGATTCAAATACTTAAGTCTGAAAGGGAGAATCTTTAAGTCTGAATCCCTCTGCTCCCCCCCGCATTTAAATTTCATTAAGCCTGCAATGAAGTTGGAGAAAAACAAGTAAAGATTATTGTAAATGTGTAACTATAAAATTACAGTAGAAAGTAAATATATTGAACTTCAAGTAACCATATCCCACAGAAGAGATACTGTAGAGGCAAAACCCAATCTGTCAAAGTGACAAATCTACCAATCAGTATTATTTACAAACCAAAGTTCAAAACTATTCAGGTATCTGGAAAAGTAGATAATCTATATTACACAGTTAAAACCACTTCAAAATTTCAAGGTAGTAATAATGGTGGCAGCAGCAGCAATAATTATTGATTAATCCCCTCCACGCCTGGCCTGAAAAATCTGCCTTAAATGTACATACAAGCGCAGCTATACAAACTAAAGAATCAACATGAATTTTCATAAAACTTATAGACCATCCTCGTGGCAAAAGTTGGTGAAAGTAAACCCACCCTTCTCTCTCTATTATTTCCATAACAGGTACATAAGAGAAGAAAACATACATTGTCAGAAGACTGATCTATCCCTGTCCCCTTCTCCATCTCCAGATATTCAAAATTGAACATAAAGATCAAACACCTTCCTTCAGTTCAGAACAACTGTACTTCCTATCCCACCTACTCAGTTCACTCTACCCAAGTCTCTGGTCATTATCACTCTAGCATTGTCTGCTCTTTATGTTATACCAGAGGTTTTTTTTAAATGATCCTAATTTTTTCCTATTGGAAAAATGAATCTCAATGGCTTCCCATCACCAAAAAGATAAAAGTTCAAATACTTGTACGTTATATAAGTCCATCCTAAAATCTTTTCCTCCACAATACTATAACCTTAGCTATTTACATCATTTCTCAAACAGCTGTCATACTGCTAAGGCTCTGAAATAAAATGTTTTCGCTGAAACTTTCATCATCCAAACTCTACATACCTGTGGAACTCTACATACCTGAGCTCAACCATCAATAATACTCTACAATCCCTAAATCCTATAAAGGTCAACAATAACACCCTTCTATGTTAACACAGACCAACAGTTCTCAACAGGAGGGATTTTGTTCCCCAAGGGACATGTGACAATGTCTACAGACTTTTTTGGTTGTCATCTAGGGGTGGGAGGCTTGTTGCTGGTATTTAGTAGGTAAAGGCCAGAAATGTTACTAAACATACTGCAATTCATGGGATAGCCCAGCATAACAAAGAATTATCCATTCTACAGGGTTGAAAAATCATGCCACAGAATGTTTTGTCATAGCATTTATACCCTATTTAGACTAAAAACCTCTTAAAACTAGAAATATACAGATTACCTGCAAATAGTAGAGCTATGGCTGAACCCATCATGCAAGAGATTATAGACAAGTAGATACAATATACTATTTCACAAATAAGTTAACCAAACGCAATTGTTTTAAGGTATGTACATTCCCTTGATTTTTATGATCTAGCATCAAATAGATTACTGACAAATCACTGGCTTTCAATTTGGTCATCTACTCTACAGGAGCTGACAAAAACATTAAATTATCAAAAAAAGAATGAAAGGAAATACAAAGTGTTTAAAGGGAGAAAGAGGAGTTATTTTGATGACAAGAATTTTGTGTAACTTTCCCTTTTTTACATTTTTATTCCCCAAACGTTCCAAGAATTTACTATAAGAAAATACTTGTTTCTTAAAAAAAAAACCTAAAGTTTTTATAGTATTGTTTATACTATTTCCATCAACATTAACAATGCTGCTTCAAAGAAGTAATGGTCCCATTATTATCAATAAGAAGAGTTCTTCCCTTCTAATTCATTATCACTAGCCTTGCTACAATTAATCAAGACAGGGTAGGTAGAAAATAGTATATTTAGGACGGATGTGTTCTCTGAATATAAATGACATGAAGATTTAGCAGGATTATAAAGTGAACTATAACTCTTCGTATTATTTTACTTAAAAAACATTGAAATAATTATAGCTAACCCACAGAAAGTAAACTGCCTTGCCAATGAAAAGAAGTCATTAATAAAGTAGCAAAGATGACCCTCTGAGCATATTATTCAAATAAAAGTACCCAGAAATAAACACCTCTTTAAGCAATGCCCCATCTTCCATATACGGATTAAGCATGCACTTTCACACACACACACGTGCATGCACACACACACAAATCATTCAACTTTCCTCATTCCTTTTAAAAATCCTCACTTGAAGACATTTTTCACTGTTTTTAGAGAAAGAGGAGGGGAGAAACATTGATGTGAGAAGGAAATATTGACTGGTTGCCTCCCATTCACACCTGGACTGGAGAACCCACAACCCTTCAGTTACTGGATGATAGTCCAACCAACTGAGCCACACCAACCAGGACTCATTCTTTATTTTTTAAGACCAATAAAATTTTTTATTGTTGGATTAATTTGAGAGAGAGAGAAACATTGATTTGTTGTTCCACTTAGTTATGCATTCATTGGTTGATTCTTTTATGTGTCCTGACCAGGGAGCAAACATGCAAACTTGGTGTATGGAATGACCTTCTAAGCAACTGAGCAATGTGGCCAGACAAAACCCATCTTTCATCTGCAATTCAAAAATAAACTTTACATCTCAGCAGATGGGTGACAGTGAGTTAGATGGTTAGAAGGGCATAACAAAAACTCTTCTGAACCTTACAAAAGATTCTAATCTGCTGGTAGACCCTAATTCTCAAGTGTTAGTATATCACGGCACTATAATGGTTTCAAAGTGTTTAGAAAGTGAGATCTTGCCCTGACTGGTGTGGCTACAAATGGTAAGGCCACCCATTCAATTCCTAGTCAGGGCACACGTGCTGAGTTGCAGGGCCAGGTCCCAGCTGGTTTCATGCAAGAGGCAACTGATCCATGTTTCTCTCACATATCAGTGTTTCTCTCTTTCTCCCTCCCCTCCACTCCCTAAAAATAAGTAAATAAAATATTTTTAAAAAGGAAAAAAGCGAAGTGCTGACCAGTGTGGCAGAGTTGGTTGGGCATCATCCCGCAAAGCAAGAGGTTGTTGGTTTGATCCCTGGTCAGGACACATGCCTGGGTTGCAGGTCCCTGGTTGGGGACGTGTGAGAGGCAACCTATCAATGTTTCCCAAGCACATGGATGTTTCCCTCTTTCTCCCTCCCTCCCCTCTCTCTAAAAATAAATGAATAAAATCTTAAAAACAAAATTTTTTATAACTTTCAGATTCAGTACCACAATGAGGTGACCAAATAAAATAAGGATAAATTTTGAACATTAATCAGTGCAGTTTCAGTATTTCAAACACCAAAATAGGAGCAGTACAGTCTGGAACATTTGTCTTCTAGACTCAAAATAACAAGTCATTTTTTTCCTTTCCTCATAGCCAGTCACCAAATCCCCAGAAATTTAGCAATCTCAGATTTAGAATTTGGTACAAAAGTGGTTGGTTACTCACTCCTAACTTTTCTTTAGCAGCAAAGCCATTACCTACACCAAGCCTGCCCACTTTTTTTTAAACATTTAATTACAAAGTCTTCTGTAGGTTGAGCCAAAATTTACTTCCCTAAAAATTCTACAATAATTGTATTTCCTCCTCTGAATGACAGCACTTTATTTATCCGCACACAATGCTCAAAACTAAACCGTTCTCTATATGCTTGGCTAATCATTCCTTCCCTGACATGGTAAACTGAAGTGCTTCCTAGAGTGTCACCAAATAGTGACATCCATACCATAATTTTGTACATGCAGACTGAGGAGTTTAATAAACTAAGACTATTACTAATCTTCCATTTCTAGACACCACACCTCTGTAACATGTAGTCCATGATAACCTCAGCTTATTTGGCAACACCACTCTGTTGACTCACACTACAGCTTACATGTGACACTACATATGTACAGGACTTGTCTTTTGCCCCCAGTCAATTCCATCTTGCTAGTGCGAACTAACTATACATCAAAATCTTTTCAGATCCTGATTTGGTCATCCAGAGCATTTATCACTCCATGCTGATTCAAGTAACCAAACATTTCGAGGGCAGTCCAACGACACCCTCATTTAAATAAATCACTGATAAAAACTGTATTAGAACCTACAAAACACCACTGCCTATCATTTCTCCCTTCAAAATCTTTAACCTTACTCCTTTCTTGTGCTGCCTCTCTCCTGGCCTTTTTTCTCTTCATCCAAACATCCTTTATCATTCTGTCATTTATATCAAGCTACCCACACCAAGGCTCAACACTGTAACTGCACCACGCAACTTACCCCAGCAATCATTGACTAATGACTTCTGGCACTGACTTTATACACTTTAATAAACTTTATACAAATTTTCTCCTGCTTCTTTCCACAAAACTCACTGCTTCAACTAGTTACCACCTATGTCCTTCACTGTCCTGCTCAAACCTCTCTATCACAAAGCCTTCTCTAACAACCCCTACCCAAAGCAATCTATCCCATCATCCCTTTGTTACCCT